TGCGCGGTGACAGTCAGTTGGGGGGGGGGGGCAATGTACTATGTTCAAGTGGATTTTGTTTTTGTGATTTAATAATTTTATAAAAAAAAGAATGAACTTGTGGTGAGATTGTTTTGCCCAACTTCTGTTTTCCAAGTTTAAGAACGAATTTACAATCTCAATCAATCAGAATATTTTCCTCCTGATTTTATATACATAATTCTGAACATAAAGCCATTTATTTCCCATACTTAAAAATAATAAACACTAATTTATAATTATACAGTGTATTGTTGCATATTTCCTTTGTCTTAATTTGCTTTGATGTGACGTAACTTTATGAAATTATGTTAAAATGTCAGGAGGCAATTCTACCCCTTGAAATGAAAAAACAAAACAGTAATCCTGCAATAATCCAGGTATAAAGTGCATATGTCTGTAGTTGTTCTTTTTGATGGCATCAGTCAAGCTGAAGTGCATTTAAAAAAAACTGATTTATCAAGCACAACCCTGCATTGTGATTGTGTTGCAGAGTGCGGCCGTGTCTGCTACAGACAGTCCGTATCATTAGATCATCCCTGCAGAGGACTCACAGCACAACTGCAGCTCAATGTTTACTTGCATTCAAAGCTTTTGGTGAAGGCGTGCAGATGCAGGTAAGGGACCTATAGTTAGGCAGAAGTGATCACACTGAACCCCGCAAACACAACTCTGCGGATTCTCGGGGGAAATTTGATCAAAACGTGTCGAAAAACACTCACGACAGAGAGGAAAGATCTATGGCAGGCGAGGATGTGAGCCAAGTCTGGATGTATGATACCGAAAGTGCTTTGGCTTAGCCCCTGAGCACGAGGACACCACGCTGAATGTTTCATCACAGCTGCAGAGAGATGATGCAAATTATGCAGAACCAAGGAAGTCAGGCCGGTTGCTCTCTCGTTTCGTATACTCGTCTCCTAATTACAGCAGACCTTTCCTTTTTCAGCACCTTAACGTTCCCAACCCAAATGCAACGGCGGCGCCGAGCTCTCAGCCTCGATGCCTGCAGCAAATGTTACCGTTGGAGCACCGAGAGGCGAGAATAAGACAGCAAACACTGTCACTGTCACCCTCCTCGTCACATGACAGTTTGAATAAAGAAACCTGTCTTCTGTCACGCTGAGAAGCGCAAGCAGTAAGAAAAATACATACATCAGCAAATGTGTGTCGGGTTTTTTTTCACAACCGAGCACAGCGTGTTTCTGCTGGCGTCTTCTAATCCTTCTCACTCTGACCTCAAAGCTTCTCACTCTGACTGATCCCCCAACACATTCTCTCTGCGTACTCTACATGATCACTGATTAGCCTGAACTCTTTCTTTTACTGTTTTCTATAGAAGAAGTCTGGGAACAGTGTGCATTATACCAGGCAGTTTGTCTCTCTCTGCAGAACCATCAATCACACGGCCCTTGACATTGTGGGACGCTTATGATTTATTAACTTCATTATGACACACATAACAGGACGTCACATCAGCTGATGATGAATCTGAAAGACTGCCATAGCTAAATATTCCATGGATCGGTATGTGCTTATAGCTACTTTAACAATTTAACAACTGAATATTGGGAAGAATTTCCATCTGAGTCTATTGGAGCTGATATTCACTATTTGTACTAGACATATGCAAACAAGCACAATTTGCATCCGTTTATGCAATTACACAAAGATGCATTTGCACAGATTAGCACATAGTCAGACACACACAAACACAACAGTGACACGTCTCCATAAATGGAAACAGTGAACAGTTATGAAAGCAGACATGCAGAGGGGGAATTCTCTCTCTCTCTCCCTCTCCCTCTCTCCCTCCCTCTCCCTCCCCCTCTTTCTCTCCCTCCCTCTGTCTCTCTCTCCCTCTCTCTCCCCGCGTGTCTCCAGTGTCCTGTTTTTCTCCCACTCTCTCCTCTTCAGCTGTTCTACATGATGTTTTTCTGCTAGCTCACAGTCTACCGCCCCTCTCTCTCTCTCCCTCTCCCTCCCTCTCCCTCTCTCTCCCTCCCCCTCTCTCTCTCCCTCCCTCTGTCTCTCTCTCCCTCTCCCTCTCTCCCCCTCTCTCCCTCTCCCTCCCCGCGTGTCTCCAGTGTCCTGTTTTTCTCCCACTCTCTCCTCTTCATCTGTTCTACATGTTGTTTTTCTGCTAGCTCACAGTCTACCTCCCCTCTCTCTCTCTCTCTCTCTCTCTCTCTCTCTCTCTCTCTCTCTCTCCGCGTGTCTCCAGTGTCCTGTTTTTCTCCCACTCCTCTTCATCTGTTCTACATGATGTTTTTCTTCTATCTCACAGTCTACCTCCCTGCTCTCTCTTTTCTCTGTCTCAGCCTCTCACTTCCCAGTAATTGAGGTAAATGGGTCTTAGCCAGCAGAAAGAAGAAAAAAAACTGTGGAAGTGAGCAGCATGAATCCCAGCTGCTGAGGAGGAGGAAGAGGAGATGTGCTCAGACAAACAGCCAACAGTAGAGAAAGGGTGTGTGTGGGGTGGGGGGGTGGGGGGGGGGGCTGTCTCTGAGACTATGTGTGTGTGTGTCTCAGTCTTTGTGTCTCTATGTATACAGTGGCTATCAGTAGAGACTTATTGCATTCCACTTCTGTCAGCAGAACACTGGGCCTCTTAAACCTTATCGATTTCTTTTAATTGCGATCGGACCGTCTGCCAATCATGACAACAACACACAAACACACATCTGACAACATGTCCATCCAGGCATATAAACCACCAATCCAGTGAGGGTGACGCTGGATAAAAGGCCAAGTCGCCATTAAATAGCTCCGCTTCTGTCTCTTGTGCCTTTTATATCTCTCTCGCTATCTCTCTGCCTGTCTTCCTGTCTCACTCAGACACACGCACACACTCTCTGATACACTCACACACACCACAATGCACACACACACACACACACACACACACACACATATATATATATATATATATATATATACACTACTTATTGATTTGAACTGAGACACAGAGCCGCAGTCCACTGGGACTCTGTGGCGATAAGCTGGTCTGTCTATAGGCAGAAAGATGACAAAGAAAAGCTCCTGAGGTAGTCAGGCTGGAGGCTTCACAATAAGGGGAGCACTTCTTAAAAAGCGAGACGGTCTTTACTGCAATAGGAAGCTCACCCAGCTGCATCCTAACCTTCAACATGATTCAACTTCAAATTGGGTGCTTGAACTGCTAAACAAGTAAAATTGCTACGCCAGGGTGTTAAAGGATTGTAAATAAATTTGGGAGACGCAGGTCAAGAAATGCTGACCTGACCCTAAGTTTCAAAAATGCTCGCTCCTACATTTCCCATAATGCAACAAACAGTGCAAGTGTTCCCTCAGACAACCATTTCCAGCAGTCGGAAAATAATTTGAGAATTTCTGACAGCTACTATATCTCCATTACTTGGTGTACAGAGGTACAGAAGTCAACAAACTGTTGACAAATCAACTCAGCAGACTGAAAAGGAGCTAAAGGGTGATTGTTTTGTATCTGGTTCTGCTGTAACACAGTAGAAGAAGCTAATTTAGGTTATTACATAGTATGACGACAAGCCGAGCAGTCAGGGACAACCATGTTGGAAAAATGCATGAACACCTCCATTCATGTTCTTCCCATTCTGCCTCCCTTTAATACTCCATGCCTCAGGTTTGTAACACAGACATTATACATCCATTTCCGCATGACAAGTAGTGCTCTCCATTACTGGCGTCCAGGGTAGGAAATTTACATATTTTTTTGGGGGCAACTTTTGCCCCCACTGACTGAAATCCAGGGGCATTTTCAAAAAATTGGGGGCACTTTTTGAAACTTCTGAAATAACATTTAACCGTTGTTCAAAATAATAAATATACTTATTTAGGCTTACTGTATATGAGCAATTGTCATCAAATGGCAATAATAAGACTATTAGCAGTAGTCTACAGATTCAAAGTGTTTTCTTAGATTATTTTAACAAAAAACAAACGTAAATCAGACAATCATATTCAATTTTATTCTTATTTCTTTGTGGTTATTTATTGTTGTTATTAAATGTTTTAAACAACTATTAACAATTATTAAGTTAACGATGCCTTGATTACATATACATCAGTCATTGTATGGAATTATTGAGAAAGATATTTTTGTAGCACCTCAAATATTGTGATATTACCCATTTTTGTCCTGAACCTATGCATTAGTCATTGTGTGGAATTTTTGAGAAAAACATTTTTATAGCACCTTAAAAATTAAAAAAAATGTGCCATTTGAAGGTACAAATTCAGTTCAGAGTTTTTACTTGGTAAAATATCTTAATTGACTGTCAGTCAGGTATTATTCATTTCCAGCAACCCTCAAATCAAAGAATAAAGACACTTTACGCACAATTTAGGTGTATTTTACCTTTAACTCAGGAGATGCAGGTAGCATGTTTTATACTTAATGTGAATATAATTCATTTAATCTAATTTCCATTATGCAATATGTATACTTTGTTGGCATCTTATTCTAAAAACCGGATGTTCGTCTGAAGAAACCGGATGTTGTCTCACGTTATTCTTTCCGTTAACTTTCAAAGTCCTTCGCTCGCTCCCGATCTGCGCCGTTTGAATGAGTTTACCGTGAATTTCAGCGTATAGGTGCACTAACATTTAAGTGTCTGCTGAGTTGACCGCAGTCACAGGTCTGATTAAGAAGCGCTCCATTTTTTTATTCGTTTAGAAAGTACGGGGGCATTTTTTGCCCCTCTCCTAGTGATATCAGGGGCAAAATGATATTTCTTAGGGGCAGTTTTGCCCTTTGCCCTCGTGTATTTCCGACGCTGCTCGCGTCACTTTTATATATAAAGAAGTTGTTCCCTCTCAAGCATTAAAGACGGATAAATATAATAACTGGATATTTTCGTGCCTTTAAGCGGTGCATTTAACACCTTTCTTATTCAAGTGGAGCTGCCAATGTTATTGGCAGTGACTAGAATGTAACATGGGGCAGAGGAGAGGATTACCCAGGATTCCCAGAGAGTTTAATGAATGACGAGGCTACACAATAGGGAAGAAGATCACGTTGCAGGTTTTCTGACACACGATGATATGACTTGCATTATTGCCATTTGAAGCCATCTATAGCTCCGTTTAGCTGCTAAATCTTATTGACAGTATACGCTGCCTGCAGACGCTCGTGTTAGGCACCACCACAGCACCTTTCTTTCTGAGTTTAAGTGGTGGAACAGGCAGCCACTTGACCACTTTTAACCTGTCTGACCTCATTACGTTTGTAGTGCTGCACACATTCATTTTAAACAACAACAAAACAAATTGTGCAGTTCTTTTGTTGTGCAAACCGCGAGGTTGGTTTCTCCATAAAAAGCACCGCTCACGGTCTCGACAAGTAGTGTGAAGGGCACAGTGTTGGTGCTTCACTGCATGCAGTCATTGACATGGAGTTGATTATCTCCAACCCGAAAATGTAAATCTATGTGACAAATTGAAAAAGCAGCCCACATAGAGATACAGAACCAATACAGTATTGCATATATTATATATATATACATTGTTTGCACTATTTAAGCTTTCAGCAGAGAAAGAAACACAATTAACAAAAATCTTTTAAACCCAGCCAAAGAAAAATCTGAATAAATACCTTAACCACCACCAGGACAAGCTAACTGCTTTTCATAAATAGCTCATCAGTAATCAAAATGAATTTACAGAGCTATCACTGAATACTGACGGATGCTAATAAGATCTGAACACGAAGGACTTCCCTCCTCCTCTCTCCAGGAGTCTATCAGAGAGACATGCTCAGAAAAAACACTGCGGTCTTTATAAACGACCTACTGACCCTGTTCATGACACGCAGGCCGGCTGCAGCCAACACACACACACACACACGGTGCAAAGTTTAGTCACCTTTCAAAAATGCTGTTGTGTTGCAAGCACAGATGTAGGCAGAGAGGAAGAAGTATCATTTCCTGGTCGTTAGCCTGGGACAGGAAAGCAGGAAAATATGGAGTTGGAAGTGGTCCAGGGTGTTTTCCTAGGCTGTCTGCCTGCCTGCAAGTCCCCCCATTAGGACCACAGAGCCTCCGACTAGCCACACCATCAGCCTACTGGAGCGTAACAGGGAGCCAGCTCTCGAATCACCTTAATATGTCACTTCTGTGCTGTCAAGGTCAACCAATCCCTCACATTTTGTCACTCTAAACGCTTACATCTCAATACAAGCTCACAGTAATGCGGTGATTTATCTTGTTTTTCTCTGGGCATTTCCATTTTGACATGCAAATTCACTCCTTGTTTCACACACACACACACACACACACACACGGCATGCCCTTTCTGGCATCTGAATGATTTGTAAAACTGCCTGCTCTCTTTCTGATATCGGAATTTCTGTTTTCGTACAAATTAAGCATTAATGTATTTCATGTGTTTGCAATGCTAACAATATGTTTTCTAAACAGTTTGAAATATGTGTATTTCCTAAATGTTGCATCCCAAAGGGTTTTGGTGCTGTTGTTTCTGATGTGTTGATAAGTAATTAAAGGAAGAGGGAGAGAGAAGCTGCTGCTGCTGCTTCTGGATGTCTGACACCTTTGAGGTTCACGATGATTACATTGGAGGAAGCTGAGCTGCACTTTTGTCTGGGAGAGCCCACAGTTGTATTGGGGGAATACATTGCAATGGGACTAGACATGTAAATGTATATTATTAAGATAATAGTGACTTTGCTTTGGGGATGAAAAAAAGCTGCTATCAAACACCTGTTTTGAAGAAGCCACCCACATCCTGAGGCGAAGATAAGTGTAGTCCAGGAGCTCCGTCTTACACTGGGAAAAAAAATTGTATATTTCTATAATATTCTAAGCACTTAGATTGTGACTGTGGAAGTCCATGTTGGGCTTATAGTGATTTTATGGTTTATTATATTTTTGTCTCATCTGTTGTAGTTTATATATGTGGGGGCTTACAGTTTAAAATGTGCATAGGATAATAGGAGACCCTTAAAAATATATAATGAGGTTACTATGTGCCTGCTCTTTTTCCAAAGTGTCTCCCAATACACTTAAAAATACATAAACAAACACCGGATAGACAAGGCTCATTGTCTCTCTCTCTCTCCCAGCGCGCGTGCATGGAAATGTGTGTACGTGTGTGTGCGTGCGTGTGCGTGTCTGTGTGTGTGTGTGTGTGTGTGTGCGTGTGTGTGAAAGAGAGAGGGAGAGAGAGTGAGAGAGCACAGCGCGAGACAGCCATGTTCTCCCAGCCTCCTCGAGCCAGTAACCATGACAACAGGATGGCTGGGAGACACGGTTCAAGCTCAATTGAGGCCGGTGCCTTTCTCTTCCTCCAAAATAGACCTTGGTCGCGTTTCAAGATCGACTTGTCCTCCTAAAAGCGGAAGGGAAACGCTTTTCTCTTTCTCTTCTCGGAGGACACGGGGAGAGAGAAAAGACACACACACACACACACACACACACACACACACCTCCATGAAACCCCACGGCCCGCACGGTGCATATATCTTTCAGCCCATATTAGCTCCACAAACACCGCTGTCCTACTGCCCGGCTGCGGACTGTGTGAGCATTTTTTGGTCACAGATTAGCAAGAAAAACAAGGACGCGAAACCCTCAACGCAGCCCCCGGGAGAAATGCTCGTCTCGCTCAAAAACTAAATGACATGGTGTCTGGCCGTGGGCTCCGTTATAAATCAAACAGAGAATTTAGCGCTAACACAGTACTATCTTAAAAACGATAACACTTTAAACACGTCCCGTACCGTTTCTTCACTCACCGGTAAAACGCGTTCAGTCAGACTTTATCGGTGGTCCTCTCTCTGTCTCCGTCTCTCTACATCCACACCGGGGAATAACACTGACAGACGGGCTCTTCTTTTTTCTCTCTCCACGCTGAGCGTCCTTCCCAACTGCCCCCCTCTCGCCGGTATGCGCGTGCGACCGTTGTTCGCGGCCGCCGCCGAAGCTCGTGGTGGTGTCTCGCGCAGGCTGGTATAGGGGCTCGCGGGAGGTCCAGGCGCCGGAGTGCGATTACTGTGCGGACTGGTGAATGGATGGATGAACGGAGGCGTCCTCCCCGTCTCCTCCTCCTCTTCGCGGAGCCTCTGAGCGTTTGAATGGCAGCTGAGAAATTGCTCCTCGGACGTCTCGGGAGCACCACCACTCTCCCGTGGATACCGCGCGGTGTGAACGGGACGTGTCTCGAGGGCCTGTTGATATCAGACACTGTAGCCTGCAGTGAAGATTAGCACTGACGGTTGTGATGACACAAGTCCTTCTTCTCTCTGACCACTGGTGATATAACTGCCCAGACCTATAAAAACCAATAATATGGGCTTTAACTTTATCACACGAGCTGGATGCAGAGTAAGCCAAGGGTGTCAAGTAGTTCCCAGACTGAGGTCCAGGAATGGCCAAAAGGACCCTCTGGAGGGTTCCAATATGTTCTCAGAAAAATGTGTTATTCAAGTTTGCATCTATTTATTTTGACACATAGCATTGGGAAAACACGGGGGGGAAAGTTTGGGAATTGACCAGAAAAACAGACCACGCTGATGATTTACAGACAGTCAAATAGTCCCGTCCAAGTTCTAAAGTCCTGCAGCTGTCATATCCAGGATGTGGTATTGGTCATGCTGCAGTTTGATTTAGATAGGAATTTGATTTCTGCAAAGGAAAACATGACCCATGAAACCGTCAATATCCTGCTTTTATTGATTGTTAGATATGCTACTCAATAAAATGAACTAATTATTACCAAACAAATTAGGTAAATTCAAAGTAAATTGCTGAGACTTAATCCCAGACAAATGATGGAGAAGATTTACTTGGCATGATGCAGTGCCTGTAAAATCAGTTTCAGATGTGTGCTTCACATTCTAGTGTGCTGTAAATCTGTTTTATTGTGATAACAATACGGCCCTGACCTTTGACCTGCTGGTTATTGTTGGCCTGTTCTAGATGGTGTTCCAGGAACTAGAGGTTACTGATTTTTTAATGCATTTACTGCTAGCCAGGATAGCATTAGCAATGCTACACCCTGTCTATCAGGCATATCTTTCAGAGGACATACTTCTCTTGGTCAAATCGTTGTAACATCTGAAATGCCATGACAGTTTCTCCACACTCACTTGTAGTATTAGGAGCAGCCTATCTTTTCAACTCTTTTTCCAAAGGTGCCAGTCATTCTGGGGGAAACTGTCAATGCTCCTGTCTTTGCAGTGGGACTATAATTACAGCCCACATCGAAGGAAAACAACACGAATGAAACCCACTGTAAAGATGACAATCAGTTATGTAGGCTAGAGAACAAAGATGGAAAGCTTTTTGGTGTTGGCTGACATTTTCTGAAAAACTTTTGAGTGTAACATTCTTTTGTGTGTCCATATTTATATACATACGTCAAGCTGTCTGAAATTTTTTTTCCCAAAAGTATAAGATAGACAGAGATGAACAAGGCACGGTTTGAAATATCTGTGATTGTGCTGTCAAACAGCAAACGCTGCCTGCTCTCAGCCTGCAGGATGATGTTGCCATGTCTTTTTTTTTCTTCAGTTGGATGGCACTGGAGCTAACACAAAAATGGTAAAATTCTTGGCCTTAATGACGGACAATTAGTCAATGTTATCTGCCAACATATACCATGAATTAGCCTGTGTCCACTCTGCCCTTGACAAAGCATAGAGGACATTTTCTTCCATGCCCACCACCCATTTTTCACTCCCTCTCACTCATCTCCCTCGTGTAAAACCAGCACAGTTAAATCAAGCCAAGAGCCAAAGTGCAAACCATATGTATTGTCTTTAAAATATACAGAATAGTGCTTTGAGATTATCCTCTTTACTTGTGCACCTCAAGGTCGTGAACAGAAGCACAGCAGCCATATACAACCACACATACGGCTCTGCATTGTCTGCTGCCAAGTTTTTTTTTTACGAGTGTTTTCGTCGGGGATCTTGGATGCAGCCTTTATAATGCAGAGCAGTGCCGAGCTTCAATGTGACGCCTGCATGGATTGAGAACTTCAGCCTCCAATCCAGTTGATCTCCAGTGATCAATAGCACATTAGAAGGAGACAGAAGAAGAGGGGGGCGGCTGAGAATGGGTGAGGAGAGAAGAGGGAGAGAGAGAGAGAAAAATGGAGATAAGAAGAAGAGAGGGATGCAGGAAGCAAGAGTGAGGATGTGGCCGGAACATAAGAGCCTGGTGTGTGTTTGAAGACAAGGGGAAGAGAAGGTTAGAGAGGGGAGGCCCGAAGTGAGACAGGTAGAGGGGGGGTTATGCAAGGAGAGGGGGGAGACAGGGAGGGGAGGGGAGGGGGTGCAGCTGAGGGTTTGAAGATGACAAAGATAGTTCAGAGGATGCACAGATGACCGGAGAGAGCGCTGGAAACAGTTTGGGGGAAACCCACCGCAGACGCAACGTCAATCCTAATTACTAATTCATTAACCTGCCCGGCTCCCTTCCCCCTCTGTAGCCACACACACACACACACACACACACACACACACACACACACACACACATGCACCCATTGCTCCCTGCTCCGTACCTCCTCCGTGTCCCAGGAGAGGCAGAGGGATGGATGGATGCAGAAATGAGGAGGTGGGTCTGCAGCTAAGTGACATCTGCAGGGCCGTGATGGCTGCAACGTGTTTGGGACACTGGAAATCCCTGATGGGACAATGGGAGGGAGGGGAGGGAGAGGACGGGTGTGGGAGGTAACTGGTGAGGAGAAAAAAAGCTAACAGCTTGCGTTTTGGTTTGTTGGAGTGGGTGGTCTCTTGTGATGGTGCACATGGTGTGTTAATGTGGCGGTGTCAGAGTGTGTAAATGTGTGCGTGGGCCATCATGCATGCATTTACCTGTGTGTGTGTGTGTGTGTGTGTGTGTGTGTGTGTGTGTGTCTGTGTGTGTGTGTGTATGAGTGTTCTAATGTGCAATCTGTGCTTTCATGAGGAGTGTTCATGTGTGTTAGCATTTTAAATGAAAACAGGTAGCGGGGAAGATAAATCAATATGCTGATGTTGGTGTGCTACAAAGTATTAGCATTGTGAGTGTAATCAAAGCGAGGGGGAAGTGCCAGACAGACTGATGGTGTGTTTTTTTGGCCTCTGCAGCGAGACTCCTACCTCTTTGTGCGTGTGTGTCTGTGTGTGTGTGTGTGTGTGCGTATCTGTGTGCGTGGGCGACAGAAGTGCACGCATAGATGTTAGCATCCACACACACCTCCTGCAGAATTCCTCTGCACATGCTCACACAGACAATTCAATATGAAGATAGAGATACAAATGTGCACACACAAGGACACGCATTCGCGCGCCCAAGTGTGCAGACACAAACACACACAGAGAAGGATGAAGTGTTGCTGACTGAGGTGGAATTAAATAGAGAAATCCTCCAAACGAGCATCGATCCACAGAGTTTACAGCGTTGGCTCCGTCTGCCACGACAGGCCGAACAACAGGGAGCTCTGTGAGACAGCTGGGGCGCGCACACACACATACACACACGCACACACACACAGGAAGCATTGCGGGCATGTACAACATACACACACACACTGCTGAATGTGTGTGCACATGGAGTAGGTCTTTGATTTTGATCACAGGACTTCACAGCCGAATGTGCTTTAGAGTGAAAAGCATGCGTGTGTCTCTGATATTTGATATTGATTTAATATGTGTGTGTGTGTGTGTGTGTGTGTGTGTGAAGATAAACACAAATGGCATGCGTTGCTTCAGAATCTTTACAAGCATGGTTTCACTAATCACCAATCAAACCTCCCATGACAACATTCAAAGTGTTGCTTTCTATAGGTTTTGCAGCAATGATAAGAAATGTTTACCAGTTCAATCTTTAAAGAAAGCAAACAGGAGTCACAGAAAGCTTGTTTTTTGCTAATACTATGTATTAAGAGCAATATTAATTAAAGATATTCAGAGGGATTGGAGAAAAAACAAGTTAATTTAAACCTAAAGCAACAAATTTTATACCTTCAATGAATCACATGACTATTTTGTATCGGAGGATGCCCCGTGTAGTGACTAAGCTTTATATCGTATTTCAGCTGATTGTTTTGCTTTACAATTTCAGTTTTGGTTCAGTTCACAGTGAAAAAAGCTATAAAAACTCGCTGTACGCAATCTGCCCAATACCAAACGGCAGAATTATGCAGATAGCAACTAGCATTTGAACATAATGGAGCATTAGCTAAAGAGCCGGGATACGAGATAAATGCTCTGTAAACTGCTGGATGTTTAAATGGGCAACTGTTTGTTAACACGTTTGACATATCACATGTATTTACCTGTTGTTTGCAGTCTTCTTGAGAGAGCCTACCACTCTCACATTTGTACGTTTAGCATGGAGCTACAGAGCCAGGGGGTGATTAGCTTAGCCTAGCATAAAAAGTTGAAGCATGGGGAAACAGTCAGCCTGGCTCTGTCCATAATTCCACACCTGGTGTAACTATTTCAGAACTGTATCAGTCCATTGTAAGTTCCCCTCAAACAACAAAGTGTAATTTTTACGTTACTGGTTGTGTACGGCTTAAACAAACTAGGCTACAACGAGTTATTTAACGCGCTTTAGAGGTGTAAGTAGGCCCCCTGCCTTCAGTTTTTATGCTAAGCTAACAAACTGCTGGCGTTAGCTCAGTACTTAACGCACAGACATGAGAGTGGTGTCAATCTTCTCATTAAACTCCCAGAAGGAATGTGAATAAGCTACATGTTAAACTACTTATTTAATTCCAACAGTAGATTGCTGTCAAGTTTTCATGTGAGTGTTACAAGGTCACTAGCGCCTTCAAAACAGAGACTGTTAGAAGTAGAGAATTGCTGCCACCATTTTGTTTTTTTAAAACACACGTGTATTCTATTATTTTTTTACATTTGGGAGAGGCAGAAGACATTATAGTAGCACTGGGGCATCATCAGTGTCATAATTGCCTTGTTCTCCGACATTTATCTTTTTCCCGTCTCACCCGAATGGAACAGATTAAGTAAAAAACATCTTTTCTTGTCTTCAGTATGGACATCATTATTTAGCATCGCATTGGACTCCAGTGGTTCCCTTGACTACCTCATCAGCATTCATTACCACTGAAGAGGAGGGGGACACGGCATGTCAGCACCTGCGTGTGTGTGTGTGTGTGTGTGTGTGTGTGTGTGTGTGTGTGTGTGTGTGTGAGAACGTGTCAGTATGAGTGTGGCTCTCATCTGGGTCATTACATCCAGAGACACATCCCTCCACATGACAGAGGCAAATAGAGAGGGGGAGGGTAATCG